GGGGGACGTGTAGATGGTTCCTTCAAATGATGAATTCAATCCGACCGTGTGATCAGCGTGTAGATGAGTCAAGAAGTGGTCAAATTTCTAGAAATAATAGCATTTGGTATATAAATAACCTAACAACAGTAGTTTTAGAATAATTTTGAAGTTATTTTCTACAATATACATTAAATCCTTCAACATTGATGAGCTAGGAGCTATTTTTATTTCAGAGATCTTATTTTTTTAACTAAACTCAGATCTATGATTATATCATTTTCATAATCAAAATGTAAACATTGTTTACTCTACAAAGACTGGAATTTTGAAATTAGTAAACAGATTTAAAATACTGTATGAACAAGTTGAGCTAAAACTACTTACCTACCGTAGGCCTAAGTGTGTCAGTTTATTCAAACTAACAGAAACACAGAGAAAATTATTGAAACAATGCATGGAATTTTTCAATGGAATCATAAAAACTTCATCAAACAAAGTTTGATTGCAAAGCTTTAAATGAAAATGGCTCTTAAACCATTAAAAATTGAAAAGCTAAACATGCATAGCTTATGCACAGTTATAAGATTAATAAATTACAGGAGTGATAACATCAAAAGAAAGCCTACCGGTAATTAACACATTCCATGCGGTTGCGCGAAGGCCAGCTGCGCTGCGTGAACAGCTAATGCGCTGCGTAGATGAATGTGCGAAAATGTTTAAATTTAGTTTCATCCAAATGAGAGGCATATTGGCATACCTATACTGTCTCCAGTCGTTGTGGACATAATTTTACAAGAACCCAACAGATAGCAGCACTAAACAATACTGCCAACCGGCCCTCAGTATCGCCAAATAGAGACAAAAAGCAGGGGTAAAGTAACCGGATACACAAAAAAAACCGCAAAAAGCAGTCGAGCACAATTTTGAGGTTAGGTTCCTTTCACAATACTACAGTACATTCATTATCATTATTCTATTGCATGTCATTAGATCCATGCCTGAACCCTCACACTACAATTAATTTCTAACAATCCCTACCACACAAATTATACCAGATTGAAGTATACTGACACAAAAAGCGGCAAGCAAAACATCTCACAGCAGTGGCTAACCTCACATTGGGACAATAGTTTGTATGCGGCGCATTGACGAGTATACTCGTCGCGCGCCACTGGAAAGCGCAAGCGGAGACGAGATTACTCATCATGGCAGTGAACATGTTAAAAGCCAAAAGCAGGATTTATACAAGGTTAACCAGCTAACTTTGTGAAACTAAATTTTAATAACTTCTTGATCAGCATTGTACCACAGAAAATATACTACTATAACCCAGAATGCCAACCGCATGGTAAAAATCATTAAGTGTTTTGAGAGAGCTTTGCCTGTCAATTCGTAGGCAGCGCCACCAGCGTTGCTATGCTGAGTGCATGGCAACGATGGTGGCGCTGCCTACGGATTGACAGGCAAAGCTCTCTCAAAACACTTAGTGGTTTTTACCATGCGGTTGGCATTCTGGGTTATAGTAGTATGTTTTCTGTGATTGTACATGTGTTATTAAATTTACGGAAGTAAATAAAAGAAAGTCTTATAACACTTAAAAGTGTTTTAAGACACTTATTTTAACGTCTTATGTTTGTTTTACTTACTTTCACTAAATTGAAAACCAACTTAGGCTTACCTTTTCTGGTGACGACACCCAGTAGTCAACACAAATTGATGTCCCACTTATAATGTGTCCGTTACTATCTTTAAGGTTCCTGTCAAAATATATAAAATTGTTATGAAAAATATCTATATCTAAATAAATATTATAATTTCTTAAGTGGTTTTTTTGCTGGTAGGGTATAACTTCCTTATTTCTTCACCAATTTTCATAAATTAACGAAGTGTAACTTTAAAGCTCTTTTAAAGCCGGGTTTTCCTAAACGCGGAAGCGGAGAGCGGAGAGAGGAACGCGGAGAGCGGACTCCACTTGTCTTAGGTAATTTAGTGTTGGTTACTGTTTTCCTAGAAGCGGAGCGGAACACCATGTTAATCCCTTTTCTGCTCTCCGCTTCCGCGCCTAGGAAAACCCAGCTTTACCCACTCCAAGTGGAAAATATACAAATCACTCATTTTCCAATAAACGATCTATTATATCATTCTGTAAGTAATTTAGACTTAAAATGTTTATTTACGTTACCTATTTGATCAGTTGGAATATGTGAATTAAATTAATCAAAACAAGGAAATATTTACTTCTCAAATCTGATTTTTTTTTTACTTCATCTATGACGACCAACATGCTTAGTCTGTGCTTTCTAGGATAAATAACCCCAGGGATGAAATCACATTACAGTATTCACTTTAAAGAAGTCTAAACAAGAACAAAGTCTCAAAAGTAAGTACCGCATGTCCCCGCATGGATTCTTTAGCTTTTATATTATTCTTTATTAACGAAATAGCCTTCATTTTGACATGCCTACCAACCATTCTATTTACATTTAATAATTCCATTTTCAAACATCACCTCTTATGTTTTCTTGATTAGGCCTACAGGTATTCAATAAATGGTAAATGTTGTGTCGAATATGCTACAACAGGAAACGGTTTAGGACCTATATCAGTTTTATTCGGTTCTTTACTAAGTAATGTAGAACGCTCTGTTGAATCCATAAGAGTTTTTGAACTCATTAATCCCTTTACGTTTGTCACCTCATAAACCTCATGTAGATGAAATGTTAGAATTCAACTACATATAACCATATATTTTCAGAAAGATCTTTTATTTCCTATTGTACAGAATCATTTTATTTTCTGTTGATGCATTCTATAATTTCCTACGTGACAAAAATTTGGTCGTTTTTAAAAAAGGAAAATATGTAGGGCCTATGTAGCCTAGAATTTATTTTTTTACCTATAATTTTATTTTTATGAGTATTTAAAAAACATTGATATTTCTGCGTAGGGAATCATATTTTACACAACCTTTATGTTTAGATAAAATGTGTAAAAAAATTATTTTGTGGTTTTCTTGTGAGTTGCTTTTGAAATTTCTAATTTGAATAATTCAAAAATGTGCAAACCTTTTGCTACTACGCCTACTGTACCTACTAATAATTTTTTCTTAGCAATGCAAAAAAAACTATGTTTATATTATTGTAGGCCTATTCTATATTCATTACTGAAACAGAAAATATATATACTGTATGTGTGTGTACTTATATTCACAAATAAATGTTCTGTGGCTTAATATATGGTACAACTACAAAAGGGCCAAAATATACCCGCCACTGGTGAATAAAATGACCGCCAGATATGGGGTTAAGTTATGTTTACCCTAGGGCTTCATGGTAGCATTGTTGATAATCGTAAGAAACTCCAAAGTTATGAAACTCCACTGTGAGGTCAATTTACTGAGTAGTTCCAGCTGATTTTACTGAGCCCTTTTTGTAAACAACAACTTTCTTGTCTACAAATGGACCAGAAACTTGCTGCTTAGACTTAAAAACTGTGTAGTGCAGCAAAATATTAAAAATCATGTACGGTAAGTTAGGCCTATGTTAAACACTTACCCCATATTCTGATGTTTATGTATTAATATCCATCTGCAATAATCTATATCTTGTCATAAAACCACAGTTAGACGTACATATGGACTTAGGGCTTCATATGGATCCAGTAAGTTACCTGAAATATATTTTTTAGCATAACTTAAGCTGATAGTATTTTTTTTCTTAGGGCTAAGTTATGATAGTTTAATAATAATTAGATAGGCTATAATGTTTTGATTTTACAAGTTTGTATATTTTGATGGAATCTGAAAGGTATGGGGTTAGGATTGGTTAAGTTATGCCTAGTTTTAGGTTATACAAACGAAGATCATTCCATTCTAAGTTAAGTAGGTAGCCTAACTTACTGAAAAGTAAAGTCTTGGGCATAACTTTACACTTGCCAACATCGATTGTTTTCAGCAATCATTTTTGAAATTATTATTTATTGTGTTTCACCCACTATTTCAATTGTGAAAAAACAGTCTGGAGGTAACGTAATGATTAATAAGTAAGTTCAATATCCTAAAATAAAAACTTTACCTACCTTCCTAATCTAACCGAAATTCAACACTGTATACAGTTAAAATCTGCATAAAACCCGACCTACCTTCCCGACATGCCCAAATAACTTAAGAGCTGATTACCTTGGTCTGAAAACGAATCGATTCCATTGCGCATGAAGTCAAGTATTAACTTAAACAGCTGTTAGTTTTACCTATCCACAGTTCACATACGGTCCCTTTCAGACTACCATATTACCATTCGTACCACTCAATGAACTTTAGATACCGGTACGTACTTTTTATCTTCGTTTTACATACACTTAGTCTCTGAGTCTTTCCGACAAAAACTGATTGGTATTTTCGGATTCAGCGTGCAAAAAACTGTAAGTTAAGTAGACATATCAAAATTACAACCATTGTAAATTAGCTATTTTATACGGAATAATTGCCAAATAAACAATTTGATAAGTTATGACCAACTGAAAGTTTTTCTTATGTAAGTTATTTTTTTGTTAGTCGAATGCTCGTTTTCAGCGATTTCAGAGCTCTGCGTTAAATTAAATATCTCGAACATTAAAATAAAAACCTATCCCTTCAGAAAGATCTAAGCTTTATTAATATCGTAATATAGTTATACACTTAAAACTAAATTTATAGGTCTAATTACCTGTTAAAATTTAACGCAACGATGTTACGAAAACTGATTTTTAACAATTTCTTTTTACAAGGCAATTGACTAGGCCTATGTGTTTGTTATTTTTTATCTGATACGGTAGTTATAGTTATGTACTCCAAATTCTCAAAGTTTTAAGTTGTGGACTTGCATAGGGTTTTAAATACAAATTTTCAAAATTTTAAAAATTTTATGCTTAATATCTCTGTTGGCGGGGGAGCAAGCTGGTCTAGTGGTTAGAGCGCGGGACTTCGGTGCCTGAGGTCCCGGGTTCAAATCCTGCCAAATCACCAATGGATTTATCTAAGTGATAATGCCGCAACCCCTAGGTCTATTCTGAAGTAGAATGTGAAAAACAATCCGACCGGGATCGTGCCTAGGGTCCTCTCTAGGACAAAAAAAAGAGAGTATTATCCTGTAATAATTTTATTTTGTGGACTCAACTGGTTTTAAAGTTTATGAAACATTGAAAAGTAGGCTACTCAAATTTAAGCTTTATACGTACCGGTATAATAGCTTAGGAAGCATAATATTTTATTATAGCCTAATACACTACCAATGTATTTTTTTAATAATGTTATGTAGGCCTAATGTTATTAATAATAGATTTTAAGCATTTTGATGTTTTAAAACACTCTAGGCTACTTTGTTGTCTGCCACAGGTACAAATGTGAGACCTAGGCCTATATATTTAGTTTTAAGTGAATAGCTACCATAAGGTTTAGACCTTTTTGATAAGATTGGTTTTTATTTTAATGTTCTAGGATTAGTAGAATTAGATACATTTAATTTAACTTAAGAGCACTGAAATCCCTGAAAACGGGCATTCGACTAACAAACAAATGGCCACCATTAAGTAGAAAATAAAATAATTGTATTTTTGTACTTCTAATGATATGTTACTTTACTTTCAAGTATAAAAATGTGAAAAAAATTAAAAATCTTGAAGCAACCAATTAATTTATTTCTGGACCACTTTATATGGATTGACCCGCCACGGATATGGATTTGGCCGCTTGATATGGTATGTACCAAGCATAGCCTAAGTTAATGGGCCTAGGCTTACCATAGCCTACTTACAAGTCATTGTGGCATAAAATTTAGGCCACATGCCTACTCCACTGACAGTACAGTAGTTCCAAGGCGTAGGCTATAAGGGATAAAGCCTTGCGGTCCTAAGTTTTATACACTTTTTTTGTACAACTCCAATAGAAACGGGTAGGTAACTTACACTTCCGTATCTGTTGTCAAAAACAACCGAATGAAAAATTATTCGATACAGCCTATCAATTATTTAATTCGATATATCGTTAACCTAACTAACCAAACGATATATCGAATGAAGTAATCGATATAAGTTATCTTATCGCTATTTTCATTAGGTTGGTTTTTCACAACAGATACAGAAGTCTACCCATAGAAACTCCTGGGGGTTCTAATGGAATAGGTGTGTTACCAAATTCAGACTAGGCCTAAGTTATAGTGCAAGAAGTAAGTTTAGGCTTACAGGTTCATTTAGTTCCCAACATATCCACAAATGCATTTGTTTATAAGTTAGCATTAGGCCTACTCTCTTTCAAAATGGATTCATACTAACATGACGATAAAAACAACTAAGTACTTAGCCTATATAAACACTAAGTCATACCTATGAGCAGCAAAATTTTGAAGGCTAATGTGGCTATGACATTTTGGCTATGACATTAATGTGACTATGACATTGTGGCTATGACATTTAGCTATGACATGCTAGAACATTTTGTTCAAAAAATAGGCTACACTTACCGGTACGAAAAGCATTGCTAACATAGGCTAATGATGTCACGTCGGTTCCAAAAGATATAGGCCTATTACCAGACTAAATGGCTATGTTAGACTTATACTAATAACAAAATAACAGCATTATCACTATCCTTTCTTTAACAAAGCTATCAAACAAATAATATTAATTCGATTTCAAATCAAATTAGCAGACGCAGACAGATTAAACAATTTGATTTGACTGACAGCAGATTTTGGAGTTGAATAACTTCTTCTTCTTCTTCTTCTAGTTTGCTTTAATAAAGCTGACTTGGTTTAGCTACCATGTAGCCACACTATTTCATCAATACAATTTTCCCGGGCTTTTTCGAAATAATACCATGATGCTAGTTAGGAAATGATTTTTGTTTTTCCAATATAGCTTAAAGTTGGTGTTAAATGTCTTGTTTAATGATTTAAAGTTCAAGTTTCATAATAAAAATCTCAAAGTTGGATTCACGTTTCTTTTAAACATTTTAGTAATGGTGGCCATAGCTTGAAATTTGTTTCCATTTAAAGCTCTTGGACAGTTGGTAGTCATTTCCAATTTTCTTATTTTTAGAAGCTTTCTTTATTTTTGCGTAAAAGCACTGTCTCCCAGTGTTGCCACTTTTAGGGTAATTACCCTTTTTTAGGGTAATTTACTAGTCTTAGGGTAATGGTAGATTTAGGGTAATTTAAGGATTAAACAAAAAGTTAGCATAACAATGGAAAATTTAACTAAAAACATGAAAATAAACTTCAAAATTTGGCAAAAAACGTTCATTACCTACATATTATAGCCAAACCGGCATATGCGATTCAACCACAACCGCGATGCGATTCAACCACAACCGCGGTTTAAAAATCGATTGTTATGATGCATTTTTTTCATAATAAGTTAATTATTATTTAGTTAGAATTATCTGTTTTAGATTGTATTCAATTCTATAACACGTTATAATAAAATATGACATATTGTTCATTACTTCTTGATTTTTAATTATGTGATTAAATTGAATTAAACTAGGATTATTTTACAAATTGTGTCAAAAAATTACTGCCAAGTATAGATTAAAGCTTTGTGTTACCGTACTGTATTTTAAAGATATGATTGTCCAAAAACAGTAGTAGGCTAATGGGTCGACACAGTAAGAAAATATGATAATTCTTGATTCGATATTTTTTGTATAAACGATAGAGCTGAATATCGACATTGGGGAAAAAATGAAAAGTTTCAACACAGGAAAATTAACTTTGAAATGCTTATACAAAGATATATTTATTTTAAATATGATATAAATTAAATAGGCCTAATCACAATGATACTCACAAAAATAAACAAATACAAAGCTAGCCATTTGAAATAATGCACATTGATAAGTACAATATAATATTGTCTGTACAAAATACAGTTATAGGAACTTGTCAATCTGTTCTGAAGAGAATTTACAAACTGGGACCAGCATAGTTTACAAAACAATTAAACATAATTTGTGCTTTGTTTAACAATTTGGCTTTCTGTTTTAAATTGTTTGTACTATCCAAATAAATAACTTAGAGGATTTTATTTGATTAAAAAATCATATGAAACCAACAGTGTTAACAATAACACACTTAATCTTGTTAAATCTTGTTAATCTGAATACCTTTGCAACTTTCTTTGAATCTTTCAATACAGGCACTGATTTTAGGTCTCGGAAATGTTCAATGCACTTTCTGCATTTATTTTATTATTTTGTTTCATGTAAGATAGTAAAATGTATACAGTCATTATATCCGTTTTAATCCCATATTTATTTATTACAACTACTTATTCTTCATTACAGGTAAAATTTTTGAAGTTTTTTCAGGATCTTATGTTATGATGATCCGCATGGAATTTTAAGATTATTACAAATCAACTGTGATAAACTTAACCTAAAAAAATTTGATCTGTCAATAGTTATATCTGTCAAAAAAATATGGTTTGATAAATTCATGTAATATTAATAAATAATAATTTATTATTATTTATTATAATTCATTGGATAATTCATTGGATATAATTAAAAAACAACGCTTAAAACACTTTTTACAATAATCTGCCTCATAATAGTAATAGTAATAAAAACATGCTTCTTTATGTATAATCATGTTTAAAATTAGTTTTATACAGACAATTAATTGAGTGTTCATAAAATATTTTAAAATATGTTATTACTCTCTACAGTACAACACAGCCATTGACTTTTTAAAGTTTGACTTTAGTCATGCAAGAAGTTGTTTGTTTGATGAATAAAAACACAACATAGGATTATTATAATATTATCTATCTAGTAAAGAAATGATTTCCCCTCCCCTTTTAAACAGACAACTACATGCAAAATATTCATCACCACATTAAATGTTATTAAGATATTATCAACTAATATGGAAAATCACTGGGTGATCCTGATAACTACTAGTGATACTGATTACTATTTTGTAAATATATTACAAAATACAACTTCAAGATAAAAGCTAACTCTATTCACTGTCCTACCTTAATTTATTTATTTATCTTATAATCAATTACTTGATGAGAATTGTATTTTAAGAAAAGAAAACGCGAAGGAAATATTTGGTCCCAATTATTATACAATTAATTAATATTTACAAAAAACAAAACAATAAACCATAGGACCCAATCTATATAAATAAAAATAGAGTAAAAAATATAAATGTTAAGATTAATTTAATTTAATTTCTTTCTTTATTGTCAGTAAAATCAAAAGTAGATTTGTTACATTAGCGATTTAATAGCTAAGCAAATACTATTCATTTAGCTTTTGTTAAAACATTTAAAACATAGGATACAATTAATATCCTCTTTTGGCAATCCCTGACTCCATGCAAAATCACATATATGTCTGTATAACTTACAAAAAAAGTAAATTAAAGGTAAAACTAAACAAAAATAATCCAAGTCTATGGACATATGATTGAAAATATTACAATTGATAAGAGTAACAAATATTTTAACCAAGATCGGTGGGTGAAATCAATCAAAACTGCTTCGACGTAGCAAGCTGATTTGAAGCAAATATCTTTTATATCCTGAAAAACAACAAACCATTAGGATTAGATTCAACACAACCTGACGCTCAACTCTTGGATAGGAAGTAGTTGATCCATTCAAACAAGCATTCAACTAATATATTTTAGAACCATAACATTTTGCATACACTTTTAATAATAATACATACAAATCTTGCAGACAGATTCTCGTTCCTAATCTAATTTATAGGATAGTCTTGGTACATATTTAATAATTTTGGAACCAAGATACAACAGTTTCTATTCAAGTAATATCTTACACTGACCATTACACGTAAATTACAATTACACACAGGGTGTCTACAACATTCTGGATAAAAAATTCATGGACGATTTCCGCACATTTAAGGACACTTTGTCAATGCTGTTACCAAATATATTTTTCTGATTTTAACCGTTTTAATTTTGTTCTTCACTGTAGTTTTAACAAAGGAAATAGAAAGTAATAACAGACAAAAGTTAAGTTTCAAAACAGAAATGTATCGAAGTGAGACAAAAATTTACTTAGGTACAGCTTTATAAGGTAACAGAAATACAATGATTGTCTCCCGCAGTAGCGACAAAATCCTGAATATCTCCCATAGTCGTGTGGTCATCGTCATCGTCTCCCGCGGTCACCGAGTTCACATCGTCATCCATGATTGCAGCAATGTCCTGATTATCTCCTACAGCGGTCATCATCGTCTCCCGCGGCCGCGAAAACGTTATCATCATCATCTACGATTCCAGCCAAATCCTGAATATCTCAGGCAGTCGTTATCGGAAACATTATTGACGTCATTGCTGTTCCCGGCAAAAGTGTGATAATATTACACAACTGCCGTGGGTACTTACTAAACTATGTAAGGACCTAAGTCTGATATTTGAGGACAATTCCTGTATGGCCAGCCCAAAATCAAGAACAATTCTCGATAGGGATGAACGAAATTGGATTTTTGACCAAGACAAGACAGGTTTTTTTAGTTATCATAAGGCCCATTCTACAAGAGCGTGAAAACCGAGACGGAATTCCTGCGTGAACGCGAACAATCTTTGTACAAATTACACGTGGCGGGATCTTTGCCGCTTGGAGCCCGCGTGAAACCCGCCGGGCCATTCAACACGAGGCAGTTCTGACGGGGGTTGAACTTAGCCAGCTCGGATGTATGGCTGGGGTTATCGAACTCCAGCTACTGGAACTGCTTAGGAAAGAAGAGGTGATGGTGGACACTTCCAACAGCCTCACCAAGGGGAAATGAAGTCATAAGAGATGAAGTTATAAGGAATGAAACTAGTTGTCATACCAAAAACTGTGGTTATATAAGGTAATCATTTTATTTTATAAATAATTTGAATGCATTTGACAACAGTTTTAAGGTAAAACAGAACTTTGAATCTGATATACGCTGGTTAAATAAATACTAAATTTATTTATTATAGCTCGGTGATTCATACACACTGACAATAATTTTGATTATCACTACCATCAAAATTGTGAACGATAGTTACATGACGGATATTTCCAACCCTGTCACGATGGTGAGCTTACCACTAGTATGGAGGAGGTTGCTGTGAGTAAGGATTCTGTGGCTGGTTCGACATCTGTCTGTGCAACGCCATCAGTCCCGGCTGTTGTTGGCTTTGCTGTTGTTGCTGATGTTGTTGTTGTTGTTGCTGTTGTTGCTGCTGTTGCTGCTGCTGCATCAACAACTGCCTCATTCTATGTTGCTGCTGCTGTTGTTGAGTCATTTGCTGTCAAGTAAGAGTTAAATCACAATCAAGCACATTAGACAAGATAATGTGGTAATGATCTATAAATTAAAATTAAAGGTCATTAGAGAAAACATGGGTTCACCCAAATCTTTAAAATTTGCATGAAAGTAAAAATCAGTTTATTATATTTTAAGAATTTGTTCTTTATTTGTTGCAATTCTTGAGGAAATGTCTTGAGGAAATACCCTTAAACGAAAGGTAAAATGTGATTAAGTTATGTGTGCTTTGGATTTTTTAAATTTCCATAATGTACAAACGTTTTCAATTTGATTTAGAGATTAAAAAGTAGAATTAATATTTGATTGATACGCCGCTCAACAAACTACTTAACCATGATAAATCCACCAAGTGAGGTTGAATTTTGGTGGTTTTTGTATC